TTCTTTTCGGATTTGTAGTTACGACATATTCTTCACATCTACAATGAAAATATTTGATATCGATGCTGAATTATTTCAATTATTTACTTTGATAAGTTTCCGGTTGAAACAAACTTTTGAGATAATCAATAGGAACTATCCGATACCGCCTCATATTGTTGGTTTTAGTAATAATATCATCAATCTAAATGCAATTAAATATCTCAAATTGATTGTCATTCGATAATCAAGAAAAGGTCAATCTCTCAATACATAGTTTATCTACTAGAAATGGGAAATAAATCGAGTTGTTGTCGGATTGAATCAAAGGAAAAATTTTCAACAGTACTTGAGGTTATTTTATTCGAATCAGAATAAACCGAAGAAAAATTTTTTAGATGCATCTGAATCGATGTATTAATTATTTGATGATCTTACTGATTAGTTCTTTTCTCGACTGAATGATTTGACCAAAGCTGTCAGGCGAAATCGTCACTTTTACCAAAATTTGTCTACATACTTGGAACTTTGGTTGTGCTGCACCATAATACTGTAAACGAAATCCAAATAATAAATGTTCTATTGCATCACCTGCCCAGGTTATTATGGCACGGTCGGTTCCGGCGGCAAGGAACCTGCTGGAATCGGCGAAAACTGTACCGGAATTGACTCAGATTTCAACGAATCCAGTCGCCGGAATGATCGATCTGGGTGATTTTTCCATTAGAATACCTTTTCAGATAGAAAGCAACAGAAGAACTGTTTAAACTAATACATGATGCAACTCACCACACGGCATGCTTTTTTCATCGTTGGAGTTGCATTCAAACTTGGAAAAGCTCTAGTGGCTCAACTCATGGATGATGCTGAATAAAAGTACTGAAGCATAATTGACTTTGTGTTCGATATCGTCGAACAATTTCGAGCAATTTAAAATCTATAAAAGAAAACTCTCGACAGTGACGGTATGTTTTTCATCAAAATTTCATTGATCAAATACTAAATTCTACATGAGTTGTCTAATTCGACTTATATTATAAATGGACATCTGATAGACTAATCTCAGTTCGAATATAAATAGATGTATATCTCTATAAACCTAGGAGTTTAGGAATAGATTTAGTTATACATGTGTATACCGATGGACATCGGCTGATATATAGCTCGACTGAAAGTATTCCTGAAACTATGTACAATAAAATCTATTCCTATCTATTTCTAACTGACATGGATGAATAGGCATAGCTAAATTTATCGCTATCTATTCCTAAGTATGTATAGGAGTGTATTAGGAATTCGTCACTTATATCATAAGTCGAATTAGGCAGCTACTCTTATATTCATCTTCTCCACTATCACAATCAGATTCTTCAACGCACAGCCATATGATCGATCAACACATTGTCAAGTTTGTTTCCATTGATACATGTCTAAACTAAATATCCATTGAGTACAAATTCGTTCGTCTTCACCATTCATGGCATCCTAAATTGAATTACAATAATGATGAAATGATAATTCCACTTCATTAGCACAATTAGTTCTGAAAACCTAAATATGGATATTCATATACATATTCACAACGAAGGAAAAACCAATTGAGTTGAAATGAAAGTTCATCGCTTCCATCCTGACATTCATTTTTGTTATTATCCATTTGTTGATAACTAACGTACTCGGAGAAAAATGATGTGGAACAACGATATCGATATGGTTCAATTTCAGTCTATCTTTGAATAAACAATCGGCATAGCCATCATTTAGAAGACGAAATGAGATGATCTTATTCGAACCATTACATACGTAGAAGGAATATTCATTCGGTATTAGTCCAGTTCTGTGCAACGCTGTGATTATGGTAGAATATTGACATTGAAAGCTATTTGACAGTAACAGATAAGTTGAAAAGGATTGAAATTGTTCATAGTCTGTACAATTATTGTGATCCAATTTTGTTTGAGTACCATTGCACAGAAACGATCCAGTGAAACACACACGATTGGAGGTGGTTTTCGTGAAAATTTTGTCGATGAAGATCATAGAATGAAATGAGATTTGATTTGTTAAAGAACATTTTTATGATTGGAGAAAAAATTGCTTGTTGAGGAAAAGGAATAAGATCTTCACAACTCTCATTTACTCCAATCCACTTAATAAATTCCTCAAATCAAAAGAACATAAAGAATTATTTTGTAAACGTTCGGAATGTTGCCCTTGAACGCAAACTCCATTAGATATTGTTAAACAAATGTTTTTCATAATAGGAAACATTCAGAATCGGTGGGAGTGTTGTACAAAATCCAGTTGAAATTTGCTCTGAAAAGATCAAATAAGAGGAGACACAATAATCGTTGCAGATATCTCATTTTCTTCCAGAAGAGTCATTCAGATGAAATTTAGTTCTCGAAAGATGATCTCAATGTAAAAGATACGGTTAATAAATAGAGAATAGTGTCAACAACGATCTCATTGTTTTTTGTAAATATTATTTTGAGAAAAAAGGATGTTGGAAATGATTTTCTATAAAAAAATCTATTTGATAAAATGCAAAAGAAAGAATTGGTGATTAAAAACGTTCTCTAGGAGAAAACCAACATTGATTAACCCACATAGGTTTAATTTGTGCATCTTGAACTAAAATCTTCAATTGTGAAAAAATTGATTCAAATGAATCATTTAAAAAAAGAATTTTATCAAATAAATAAGAATAATTTTCTTCAATAAGATGTGTTTTTGTTTCAATTTCATTCCATTGTTGTTCATTAACATAAAAATATTCTCTTAATTTGTGAATTGTCGATGGAATTTTCATATAAATAACAAAAGGTAAAANCTCGCAATGATATTAAATTGGGCAAACGAGAGATGAAGGTAATAAAAGGTGCAAACGGTAATTTCAATTGATGAGAAAATCCAACATGTTGAATCATAGTATTGGTTGTTTTATCCATTTGAAAATTTTCATCTTTCTCCAGCTGGACTCCAGTAATCGTGGTAAGAAATGGAAAAGGATTATCTTTGAAGAGAATTCGTTCCCAAAAAGAAAACGGCGTTTCGTAATCACCAATGTCAAGACGCTTTAGATATGGGAAATTGGCAGAACAAATATTGGAATATTGTCCCCATGAGCAATATTTCAATGAGAGTCGTCGCAGATTAACAAGTGGGCGAAGATCCATTGGTATAGTACTTGTGACATAATTTTCATGATCTTCACGATAATCTGTAAAACAAATAACTGTGTCACTCCATTTTGACGGATAATTCACCTTTCTCGCTTTCTTCTTCAGATCAGAATTCGATGATATAAAAAGTTTAGAACGAGTAGAGCGAAGAATATGATTGATTCGAGAGTTGAGATTTACCCATGGTGGAAACAGTTCATCAAAATAGAAGTAACTGAATATGTCTAAGAAGATTTCATCGGGTAATAATTCGATGCATGAATGTTGTATGTCGCTCATTTTTGTAATCCAAAAGGTATGAATACTGTGCTATGGGACTGCTTGTAATAAATCACACTGGTAATACATATGCTGCAAAAACATGAGCTATATATACATAATCGGATTTTGTGGGTATTTTCCAGAAAGTATACATGTCTATATACCATATAGAAAAGAACGAAGGAAGCCTATATGTGAATGACGTCACGATAGAATGATAAGAGAAAGAAAAAGAAAACATACTTCGCTTCGTAACAGATTTTGATAAAAAAAACACAAAGGATGAGAGTAGAAAAATCCACATGACCCGAAAGGGGGAAAGCCAAGCGAGAGCATAGTGATATAACCAACATGATGTGATCTCCATGCCATTAGCAACGAATAGTACGCGATCTGAAGCATATCCAAGCCTATAGTGGTTGCTTTACAACGATTCACATTCTATTCAATATATTTGTACGAAGATCTTTATGATAAATGAGAATTATATTTTGAAAAATGACTCTTGATTAACGACTAAAGAAGTCATACGCTTGCTCTCCAGTTCATTTAGTTCTATGATGTAGTAATGACGGTCAAGTTGTTGTTGTTGTGATATTAGTCTTTTTATCGTCAATAATCTTAAATACTCGATTGAAATATCTTCCCAGTTTGGTTTCAAGGAAGAATACTTGTTTGTAAAGTGATGATGGTAGAACGTATATAAAAAAGAGACTCAGTTGTGGTATGAACGAAATATAATAGGCGACCAGTGTAATTAAAGTAAACGATGTGCTATGTTCATAATCGCATGCGTTGAAAAACAGTACAATCAGTTGAGGTAATTCGCTGAGGAAACAAACGAAAGGAGCGATGAGTTGGTTATACTGTTGTTGAATTTCATAAACGAAGGCCTCACGAGATGGTAAATGACGACTGGCTGCCCGAGAACGAGCGACCAGAATGATAATCAACAATGCAGCGAGAATATTGACGATGAACGGGATAATTTGATGTGTTAATGAAGTATATTGCATATATTTTCTACTATTAGTAGAAATCTGTTGAATACATAGTGGACGAGAATTATCTGGACTAATAATCAATTTGTATTGATCAATATATCGTACAAACGTTCCACAGATGACGAGAGCAGTAATAGTAGATAGAATTATTGCAGCTTTAACTGTTCGAAGTAAACTGTATGAAACAGGAATAATAATACACAATGCTCGTCCAACTGTAACAAACGCCATTAGCCATAAACTCAGAGAATTCAAAGACACGAGAAGATACGGCGCACTTTTACACACCGTTTCAACCATGTTAAGATTGCGAACTATTGAATGAGTAACAGTTAAGTTGAGAACGCGAATGAATATAAGAAGTAGAATGAGTTGACTGGTGATTGTATTTAATAAAAGATAGAAACCAATATCTGTTGTTCGAACTTTTGGTTGTATGAATGTCAATAAACAAAATCCGTTGAGAAAAATACCAATCAGTACAAATATGATCGATCCGATGAGAACGCAATATTCCCCTCGAATTTTTTCTATTAGCATTTCAAATGAAACTGAATACGAACGTCGAAATGCGAATTGACACAGACGTCCACTAACACATTTTGGACAAATACATACGAAATCACTGCGATTTCGTAGGTCACCTTGGACACATATGCCTTGATTGAGACAATGTGTACAAGTTAGACTATGTTGTCGATACGAAACACATTCACTGCGATTTGCAAAGTCATTACAATAGCAGACATAATTTTTCGAATAAAAACACGGATGATACTTTCGTTGACGACAATAGCTATGATATAATCGAATTGATTGTTCATCNGGACAAATACATACGAAATCACTGCGATTTCGTAGGTCACCTTGGACACATATGCCTTGATTGAGACAATGTGTACAAGTTAGACTATGTTGTCGATACGAAACACATTCACTGCGATTTGCAAAGTCATTACAATAGCAGACATAATTTTTCGAATAAAAACACGGATGATACTTTCGTTGACGACAATAGCTATGATATAATCGAATTGATTGTTCATCACTATCGGAATTGAACGGATAACATTGTCGAACTTTTGAAAGATCCAAAGTTAAATTGAAAAGTTGATTACTGCAATGAATATAAAGAATATTGAGTCGAATTTCGACAGAATCAACTAACGGCTCAAATATATAGAGTAAACCAATCTCAGGCATAACTCCATCATTCTTTCGTCTTCTATCATATGTATAAATAGGCAGAAGTAATGGAGATTTTGTTGATACATCCACAATGAACTGTTGTCGCAAGCGTGGATAATTAGGCATCAATTTAAGTAGTTGAATCAACAAAGGATATTCATTCGATTGATTGAAAACCAATTTCAAGATCGATTCATGTTTACGACATTTAGACAATCCACACAAACATACGTGTTGATTTGGTGGAAGAATTGACAGTGCATAACAATTCTGTGAAGTTAAACATTCGTTTGTTTGATGACATACATTGTTCTTGGCATAACAATGAGGTTGAAGATATCCTTGTGGACATACACAAAGATGACGATCGCGTACAAGAGCTTTGGATGAACATTTCGTTTGAGAAAGTCGTTCATGACAGTGTAAACCATACCAACCACGTTGACATATACATAAATATTCATCGGAATAGGCATTACTCATGTAACAAGTGCCATTGTTCAAGCATCGATTATGAGAACATGTCAATGGAAGATTTCCATCAGGAAAACGAATTATTTTCGCCAGACGGAATACGGGTAAAAATTCGAATGGACTAATCATAAATGTCCAAAATGAGAGAAAATCAATGCCACGATAGACTTCTATACGAACAGAATATGAACAGTGAAGTTGTGGACGAGGATAAAGTAAATAAATGAGATGTTTCTCGGAAAATTCTTGATTAATATCAGCAAACATCTGATGATCAACGATAATACTGTTGTTACATAGTAAAAGTACGAGAACATGAATAATTGCAGGTAAATCAGAACGATATCGGCGATCAAAACGAATAAGAACAGTGATTCGTCGTCGATTAAATTGACATCGATCACCATAGAAACTCGGCGGACAGAAACATCTGTATTCTGTTTCATTCTCTGCGACTAAAAAGAATCCACGATTACAAAACTCGACAGTATTCAGAACATTTTTGTTCGGAGTAGACAAGGCTCGTGTGTGAACAACCATGGAACTATTTTCCGATGAATAACTCGAACAAAATGAATGATATTCCGATGGACGACGAATTTTCGCATCTCGATATGCTTTCAACGGATTTGTTGGACACCAAAAACGATGCTCTCCATATGGACACACTTGACTTTCATTACAACGATGATCAATACATTTGCGACCATCATAACAGGGAAATTGTCNCGGAGTAGACAAGGCTCGTGTGTGAACAACCATGGAACTATTTTCCGATGAATAACTCGAACAAAATGAATGATATTCCGATGGACGACGAATTTTCGCATCTCGATATGCTTTCAACGGATTTGTTGGACACCAAAAACGATGCTCTCCATATGGACACACTTGACTTTCATTACAACGATGATCAATACATTTGCGACCATCATAACAGGGAAATTGTCTAGATTTACATTGATGACGATTCCAAAAACAAATCAATTCATCAGTTTGATCGAAACAATCAAAAATTCCATCACAAACCCTTGTATTCGAAAGACATTTGGTCTCATTATCACAAACGAAACGATCTCCAAGCATCCGATAATCTGAACATGACAAAACATTTCGTTCATCACGACCTCCGACACAATCAATGACTCCGTCGCCAATTTTCGCATAGTCAATACACGGTCGAGGAAATGTTGCATTGGCAAGAAAGTCAAATGTTATGCAAAAGTATTCCGCATGTTTCATACATCGATTTTCCAATATCCAATTTGACTCTATTTGAAAACAATGATATTCATCTTCTCCATTATCACAATCGAATTCTCCATCGCACAGCCATGATCGATCAATACATTGCCCAGTTCGTTTACATTGATACATATCTAAACTACATATCCATTGAGTACAATTTCGTTCATCTTCACCATTCATGACGTCCCAAATTGAATTACAATAATGATGAAATGGTAGTTCAACTTCATCAACACGATTGCTTCTGAAAATCCAACATGGATATTCATCTTCATATTCGCAACGAAAGAGAAACCAATTGAGTTTAGATGAGAGTTCATCACTTCCGTCTTGACATTCATCGTTGTTATTCCCCAATTGTTGATAACTAACGTATTCGGAAGAAAGCGATGTTGAACAACGATATCGATAAGGTTCAGTTTCGGTCTTCTCATCATTGTTTTCATCATCTCTGAATAAACAATCAGCATAACCATCATTTAGACGACGAAATGAGATGATCTCATTCGAACTGTTACATACGTAGAAGGAATATTCATTCGGTATTTGTCCAGTTGTGTGCAACGCTGTGATTGGTAGAGTATTGACATGGAAAGCTATTCGACAGAACAGATAAGGTATTGGGAAAAACAGATAAGTTGAAAAGGATTGAAATTGCTCAAAATCTATACAATGATGATGATCCAATCTTGTTTGAATGCCGTTACATAGAAATGAACCGATGAAACACACACGATCGGGACTGATCTTCGGTAGATTTTCGTGAAAATTTTGTCGATGAAGATCATAGAATGAGACGAGATTTGATTTGTTAAAGAACATTTTTATAATTGGAGAAATAATTGCTTGTTGAGGAAAAGGAATGACATCTTCACAAGTTTCATTTACTCCAATCCACGAACGCTTCTTGTTTATTCCACTTAATAAATTTCTCAAATGAAAAGAACATAACGAATCATTTTGAACACGTTCGAATTGTTTTCCTTGAACGCAAAATCCATTAGGCATTGTTCTATATGTCATCAAGATTTCACAATGATGAGCCAAATCACGCATATTCGTACATCCATCACGATGATGTAATAAATTCGACCAATGTACACATTGGCCGTCAGCACATGAAAATTCATCTTTATGACAAAGACGTTCATCACATTCCCACGCTGATTTTGTTGGACATTTGTAATAAATTTCATTGACTCTGCCGTTTTCTTGTTCATCACTTCCATCCATACAATCAAATATTCCATCGAACACAAATTCTCTTGGTATACACATTCCATTTCGACATTGATATTCCTCTTGATCACATTGATGAAATTCAAGTAAATGACAATCGATTTCATCTGAACCATCAGCGCATTGAACAATTCCATCACATATGTGTCGCCACTCAAGACAAATTGAACCACTGTTACATTGAATTCCGTCGACAAGGCAAACGAGAATCGTATTTTTTCGATTCCTATGTCGTGCAAGTTGGTCATGAAGAGTCTGATGAATCGTCCATTCACCCAATGGACGTTCGTACCGACAAAACCATCCAATATGAGATGATGTACAATTGCAAATGGAATTATCGAACGAATTTGATTGAAGATATTTCGCATATTGTTCAATGTGTTGAAATGGAATTTGCCAAGCGAGTAGAACATCGGTGGTTATGTTCAGAGCTTTTAACGATGAATATTTCCATGGAATTCCATTTCTACACACTTTGGCTTCATTCGTATCGTTATGATGACAAAATAAATGTTTTTCATATAGAAAACATTCAGAATCGGTGAGAGTGTTGTACAAAATCCAATCGAAATTTGCTCTGACAAGGTCAAATAAGAAGAAACACAATAACCGTTGCAGATATCTCATTTTCTACCGGAAGAGTCTTTCAGATATGATTTATCTAACGTGTTTCAGATGGAATTCAATTCTCGAAAGATGATCTCAGTGCAAAAGACACGTTTGATAAATACAGAAGAGAATTGACAACGATCTCATTGTTTTTTGTAAATATTATTTTGGAAAAAAAGGATGTTGGAAATGATTTTCTATAAAAAAATCTATTTGATAAAGTGCAAAAGAAAGAATTGGTGATTAAAAACGTTCTCTAGGAGAAAACCAACATTGATTAACCCACATAGGTTTAATTTGTACATCTTGAACTAAAATCTTCAATTGTGAAAAAATTGATTCAAATGAATCATTTAAAAAAAGAATTTTATCAAATAAATAAGAATAATTTTCTTCAATAAGATGTGTTTTTGTTTCAATTTCATTCCATTGTTGTTCATTAACATAAAAATATTCTCTTAATTTGTGAATTGTCGATGGAATTTTCATATAAATAACAAAAGGTAAAAGATTGGAATATTTCAATGAATCGAGTCCTTCAGGTAATAAATTTAAAATGCAAATTTTATTCAATGTTTGACAACATATTTCAATCGCTGATTTTGATGTTCCATAAAGATTCTTTTCATATTCACCATGTTCAACAAATAAATCATTTGAAATATCTTTTTCAAATTGTGAACGTGTTATAAAATGATAATCTCGTCCATCGATTTCATCATCTTTTTTCGTACGTGTTGTATGTGGAACAGCAACATCAATTAATGAAGATAATTCTAAACAATTCATTAAACGTTGTCGTAATTCATGTCGACCAATATGTGGTGGACCAATTAACACAATCGGTCGTTTACGTGTGGAATTTGGAAGAAACCATTCAACAGGTTCATAAATTCCAAAACTGAATGTTGTTAAGATTTTCTGTCGAGTTGATTGTTGAGAAATCGATTTGCAAATTTTCTTTTTTTTCAATTTCTTTTTCGTTTGAATTGTTTCTTCATCCAGTAAACATTTGACAATCTTCAAACGTTTCTCTTGAAATTGTTTCGAAGGAATAAGACCTGGATATTGTTGTTTCTTCTTATTTTCTTCATTTTCCATAAGAAAAGCTTGCCACCATGATTGATCATCTTGATTAACAATATGTAAAATGGAATTTTCTTCAAATGAAAGACCTAATTCACGACATGGAATATACATATCATCATATGGATCATAAGAAAATAATGTTCGAACATAAACTGATGAACAATCATCTTGATTCGATTGAAATATTGGATTAGTTTTACCAAGAGAATTATTTCGAAGATCGGATGAAGGAAGAAGAAGAAATGTAATTGTACCTTGAAGAGAATCAATTAATTGAACAATTTCATCTAATGTTCGATATTCTGATTGAATTGAAATATGATTGATTTCAAGTAATTGATCACCAATTGAAAATAAACCTTGTGCAATACTTCCGAAGACAATTCGAGCAATGGATATTCGATAATCATGTTCGGATAAACGACATATTGTTGCACCTAATGGTTCACCTTGTCGTTTTTCTAAACGAACAATTTTCAATCGACTGACATTGTATTCGGATAATTTCGTTGCATAGGTCGAATTTTCTTTTTCTTCATCGATCACTTTTGATGAAGATGAAAGGGAAACAATACAACTTTGTTCGTCTTTATCGGCTTCTTTTGATGATTTTTCACGAAAATAATGTTCAAGAATTAAATCATACGAAGAAATTAATGAATGAAACGATTCTTTTTGTAAAATATTCGTTAATTCTTGATAATCAGTGGATAAATTTGCTGTTGAACATTCATGTAAGAGTTCTTTGATGAAAATCTCAAGAGAGATTTTATTTTCGTAATTGAATGATGTATTTAACATTAAGGAATAGAGTTCAAGAGTTTTTTCAAATTGATTGGATTCAATGATTGAATTTAATAACGAATAGTCGACAAGAAGAGACGATACGCTTGATGAATCATTTGCATTGTGATTAATATTAACATTGTTGCCCGATGACGACAAAGGTGAACTCAACGGGACAACGGACATTTTATACCACACTTTTTTCTCTCTTCTCTTTCTCTCCTTTGACACGAAGAGGGCACACGTTGAACGAAAGAAAGAGAACAAATATTGATAAAAAAAAAGAAAGGAGAAAGAGATTTCTTTATTGTGAAGGGTTGAATTGTTGTGTAGACATGAATACACGTGCAATTCGATCTCTTTATCACTAACTCGTGTGTTTATTGTTGACGCAATGATTGAGTGTGCACATACAGATGAATGTCACCATACACATTTCTTTTTCTATATCGATCGTCGAGTCGAATAATTATCAAGGGCTTAGAGAGAAAAGACATGAGAGAGAAAGAGACCAAAACAGAGGAAAATAGGAAGGGCAATGTTCTCGTATGTTGTCGATCAGATAAATCATTAGTGTCGATCGAATGTATGGATTTTGTCAGAAGAAAAAAAATGTCTTTTACAGATCTTCATCAGTAAATACAGGAAGTCCTTCTTTCTATATGTCAAAACGATGAGAAGAAAAAGATTCTTTCTGGAAATCATTACTCGGCTGGCTTTTTTTTTATATCTAATTCTTCTTCTAAACATTGATTTTTCTTGATTAAGATTTTCAACAACACAATCTTTATATGTTGATCTTCTGCTTTTGATCAGATTAAATGTTCTTGACAGATCGAGAGACGAAGAAAAAAAAATCTTTTCTCGTATTTCTTAATTAATTATTTATATTTTATGGAAAAAATGTTCAAGAAATCAAATCTTATGAATAATTTATTTCATTTAATGGAGTCAAGAGGAAAAAACGAATCTTTCCTCGTCGAAACGACGATATGATGATGAAGAGATCGAATCGATCGTAAAGAATTGCCTTTTCCTCCTCAAAACATATCGGTTGACATGAATACTTGTCTAAAACATTTCTTTTCCTTGCGAATAATACTCAAGAGACTATGAAAGGACTTTTTTTGTCTTATACATTAATAATTGATCGTCTAATCCAATGAAAAGACTTAACATAATTATATTTAATAGACATTTTCATCACCTCAAGTCAAATCAGCACTTTCCTTCATGTTTTTTTAAAGAATATCAATACAACATTTTCTTTTCTCATTGATTCAACATCCATTAAGAGTGTCAAAAGAATAAAATATTTCCATTGATTGTTAAATACGTGTTCAATAAGCTCTTTCATATGTTATTCACATTTTGAAAAATGAGAAAGAATTATTAATGAAAAATATGTTTATTCGATGAGATTTCTTTCTATGTCTCTATTTATCCATCTGCTGATCAGTTCGAGTTATATTCTCCAACATCTTTGATTAATGGTGAAAATTTTGTCTTTATCTGATCAAATGATAATACACTAATGGGGCGCCTGGCAGTGACTGAGTACAACTCTCACACTGAAAAGAATGTTGACGGCGTCGATTGCCGTTGCCATGCGGGGCTTTGGAAAAGATCTTCGATATTACAAAGAATCGCCACACAGAAAACAAAGAGACAAGTTTCGTTTATTTCGAAACTTACTCAATTATGTTTAAATTAAAGAAAATCTCTACTCAGATTAATAAATTCGATAGAAAATCAAAAATAGATGGATCGACCTGGATATCCATGTTTATATTAATATTCTTCGAACAACTGAATTTTGAAAAAGTGATTCGGAATACTTCATTTCTTTTGTTTTGCTCACAACCTTAGACGACAAAAATATTTTTTTCATTTGAATGTGTCACAATTTTTGGGTCACACAGTAAAAGTTGAAGAAACTGAGAATTGACCAAGTAATTTAGAGATATCTGTGGTCATCTCGATAAATATCACGTATATAAGATGTTCTGTGTTTTTCACATCATATAAACTTCTAATTGACGTCACATATGTGCGAAACACAGTTAAGAACAAGAAAGTAAAAAGATGAAAGGAAAATTAATGTAGACAGATACATTGAATAGATCGAGACAAAAAACGAAGTATTTCATAGAAAAACACATTTATTTATTGTTCTCACTAAAGTATAATCATATCTCATTATGAATGTGGAATATGAAATTCTATGTATGAAAGAGTTTCGTCTCTCATGTCTTGGTCTTTTGAGAAATACTGACTGTTTGCTTTGTCTTGTGTGTTTTCAGTAGTTTTTCATCAAGAGAATCCATAATCATGTGATATTAATCACATTCTGTTAATGTATTATGACTTCATCTGCTGTTATACATTCAACGAACTGTTTAGACCAATGAAGAGAATCTTATTTCAGATATAACACTAAGATTCAAAGTATTTAATATCCAACAATAGACATCATGAACTCCTTTACACGTATTTGACTATATGATCATTGTTTCGTGAAGAATTTCGACAATTATATTCTTTCATTTTATGAAATAATCCACTGTGACGAAACAATGAGCTAAATCGCTTAGCATTGTACGAAATCAAATAACAGGCAGATGAGCAAATTAAATCAATGGAAAATCAAGTCAATATCTCGTTGTGAGCACTGTTTTCGTCTGGAAGCGAACTCAATTCGATTTTAGACTCAGGTAAATCGCGAACAACAGATCAGTGAACACACCAGAGAGGATTGTCACTTTGTATATCATATCAAGTGAATCAATTTGTGAACTATCGAGTAAGCTAAATAGGAAATAATCTTTTCGTGATGTTTTTGTTACTGGCCACAGTTGAATACTGGCATTTTCTTTAAAAACGTCAAGAGTACAAGGAAAACATATTTTTCGATTGGCTCTTTTCAAGTTAAATTTGCAGAAATATGAGAACAACTTCATCTAAAGCTGTGAATTGGCTTTTGTCTTTATCCGGAAAAAAATAACAAGAAAAAAGCTTTATATCGATGACAAAATAGTGTAAATAGCATCTAATAGTTGTGTATTATTTTCCAGCCATTGATCTTCTCTTTGTTCCATATTTCCAAGTAAAATAGTAGATGAATCGGATAATTTCCATGTTTGACCATCATATGTTACTAATTGCCAGTTGACTGCAGTCGTTACAAATCCATAAACCATTTTATGATCATCATTTATGTTCCACATAGATTTCAATGCTAATAATAATTGGGTAAGTCCTTTTCCAAGTGAGTCCCGTTTTGCTTCGACGACAAGTAAATAACGGGTGTTCGCAGAATTGATGATTTGAGTAACGAGAAACTCCATGTTTCCACCAAATTCTTTGTCTTTGCTAATGATCTGTTTCTCTCGTGTTAATTCTATGTCATACCGATGCATTGTACGTCGATAATACGAAACCATCGTTATCAAAATCATTCCGACGTTGTCTGTGATGACAGATTCATTCATTGGAGGGATTGTTGTTTCGGGAAATCCTTCTNAAACAAATCCTGATTTCCCGATGGTCAAACTTGATATTCCTTTTCCTTCTTCGATATCGAAGGGTAGTTGAAGTTTCACCGGTATTTTCTCATTAATGGAAACAGTAAAGATTTGTGTTGAATCGTAAACAAAGATTTGATTTGATTGACGATGAAATTGTAAATATGGACAAGAATTGATTTCTGTTGTTATGAATTTTTCAATTCGAGCTTTCTCATTTGTCATATCGAGTGAATAGAGTTGCGAACTGTCGAGTAAACTAAAGAGAAAATAATCTTCTTGTGACGTCTTTGTTATTGACCATGGTTGAATACTTCGATTATTTTCTTTTAAAACATCGAAATCATAACAAAAGATATGTTTTGATGGACTCTGTACGAATGGTCGATTGTTTTCAAGTTGAATAGTGAAGAACTTAATGACACCTTCATTTAAAACGATGAATTGATTTTTGTCTTGTAAATATAATAATGAACAAGGATTATCAAATTGATAAATACGATATCCATATCTTCGCCAATTTCTTCGGTTTATTACTCGATCTTCATCATCACCTGTTGATGGTTCACTATCTTCAAACGGATCTTCAACACGATCTTCATCTCCATCTGATTCACCTTGAGAATAATATTCTTCTTCTTCTTCTTCTTCATCATCATCATCCATCTGATTTTCTTCAACCTTTGTTTTGTGTTGATAAACAAACTCCCTTTGATATTCTTTGGAATTTAAATCAATTCGTGTTAATTGATAATTCGTTAATACATAAAGCGCATCTTGTTCTTTATCCAGTTGTAAAGATATTGGTGTGTCTACGTTGGTCGCAATGATCTCATGATCTATTGTTTTTGTTGCCATATTGAAACTGTTTGTTCGAAAAGGTCTGTTTCTTTGTCTTTATATATCCATCTGCTTATCAGTTGAAGTTATTTCACAACCATGATGAAATACTTTTTCTGATTTAATATTTGTAGAAATAATATCGATATATATTTTACCAGTTTTCTCATCGCTCTTGTCATCTTTACCAAATGTAACCTTTCACATACTCAGAACCGATTAGATGTGGACAACAACATTTCGAACGATTTAGTTCCACAGCACTTATCTATTAAAATTGATTTATCTATATCGTACTTGATGATTGTATATGTTTGATTTTATTCAATATGTACTATCTTTTGGAGATTCAGAAATTGAATTGACTTCATTTCACTTATTAAAAAGACTTGTTCGTGCCATAAGCACGTAAAGTACCGATTGGAGTGAAGAAGAATATATAATATACATTATTAATTTTCACTGAGACAGGATGAATATTATGAAAGAGTCATTGAGATGGATGGGGATCAACATATTCGTCCGATTAGTGACATGATATGTCATGTTTTGTTTGACCTAATTGAATGAATATCTTCTATAACGAAAGGTCATCAGTGTAAATAAAAGCAAGAGTGACTTATACATTTATATATGTGTTTCTTTTGACATTGACACTCAAATCGGATGGAAGAAAAAATGAATCATCCTTATATTAATTTTATTGATCTTCCTGTGGAAATTCTGTATATTATACTCAATAAACTGGATAATGTTGATGTTCTTTATTCATTATTTGGTATAAATAATAAACGACTCGATTTCATAATACAAGATCACATTTTCTCCAATACTCTTAATTTGACAAAAATTGTGAATAATGCCCCAATATTTGATCGATTTCGTAATTTTATAATACCTGAAATACGTTCAAATGTCAAATGTCTGATTGTCGATTCTTCATCAATCGAACAAATTCATTATCCAAATGTAAATCATTTAAAATTTACGAATTTTCAACGTGATAATTCACTTCAACATTTTCAAGGTAAGTCATTCTGTTTGAAATCGAATTAAAATCCTTATGAATTTGTTTCTTTAGATGAATCACCTGTTGGTTGTATTTTGAAAAACCAAATAACAAAACTCGAACTGACAAATATTGATCGTGAATCTACGAAAACATCATGGGAAAGATATACACAAACAGTTTATGCGCACATTCTAAATTATTCTAAAAAATTAGAGCATCTCGGTGTACTTAGAAAAACCGTATATGGAAATCCACCATTATTAGTACATAATTTATCAGCAAATACATTTTCTTCATGTACTCTCACTTATTTATCTATTTATGTGAGTACATTTACTGATTGTCTTTGTTTACTTGATGGTCGTCTCAAACAACTAAACACA